TAATATAATATAATATATTTATTTGTTTTATTATATACAAAATATGTGAAAATATGTATACTGCGTATGCGTTTATTATTGGAAAGAGTATTCGTGTTTCGGCTGATCCGAAGTTAACCCTCAATTGTTGCGCCCAAATGCACCGTCCTTGATAACTATATAAATATATATACATATACATATATATAAATGTATTATTCAGATGGCGTAATCTCTATATATATTCTGTACAAATGTTATGCGACCTTTTTACACCGTAATCAATTGTTGTTTTTGTTAGTTCTCAGCAAATTAAAATAATAAATTTTTCTTTATGTAAAATAAATGTTGAGCATTGCCCCGACGCTAGTTAATCCTTTTAACGAATTCTATATATATATACATATATCACTTAAGAACACTACATGTTCGTATATGTCTGATCTTGCATTAAATGTGCTTTCGTCATATTCCTTACAGCACCGTCGTCTTAGTTATAGCCGACACGCAGTAGATGACAGAGATTTGTCCACACAGGTGAGTTCATGAAAACACTTTGACAAATCTCTGAGAGCACCTATAGAGTACTGTCTCACATATATATTTATTTAATTTATATAAATATATGATTTCTATGCATATATCATTTTAGGTCAATTATAAAATGCAAATGAATTTCCGTCGCATGTTCAACGATCGCAAACATCACAAGCGCAGCAAACGTGGCGCCAGCAATAAGGTAAGGAGAGATCTTTGTTTTAATGTTGTAAATTAGAATTTAATATATACTTATGCTCTCTGCAGGAGACCAAGGAGAATGTTAAACAGAATCATGTCTCCTTCCATGATTTCCAGCAGAACGGCACCGCGAAGCAGCTCTCCAATGGTACGAATACGCATCCGAGTTCAAACCATTCACGCAAAAAATCTTACAGAAAAAGACATACTCACAATTCACTTAACAAATATCGTAGATTAGACATAGGTAAATGCCGCTAAATGAATACAGAAATTAAATATTTAAAAAACAATGAAAACAAACTAATTCCTCCAATTTGTAGTAGCATCTGTAGAGAGTTATAATCAAAATTGAAAATTATCAGTTGATTATCTGGACTGTAGCTGTGTCCCAGATATAATCTGAACGTTTAAGTAGAGTTTATTTCGATTTTTATAATTTGATCAACATCAATACAATCTATCCAAGTCTAGCTATACATAACCTGCACCTCATTATATTTAAGTTTTTTTTATGCATTTCTAATAAGCATGCGGAGGGCTCGTAAAATATAATACAAAAATATTTCAACTTTGCAGTAAATTTTTCCACATATCAATTTTACGAACCCTTTCTTACATAATGCATCACGTTTTGTTATTAATATATTTTTTTTTTTTACAAAATTCATTTAAAGAACAATTGGTTACTAATTCTAAATACCCAAAAAATCTTCTTTTTTTTTTCTTCCTCCTACGACACACGCCATCCTTCCCGATGTCTACCAACAAAAACAATTGGTTGAAACTAAAAAAACTGTTAAAAAAAAATTGTTTTGCACATTTAACAACACTGACCACACGCACTCACCAAAAACAAATCCATTTTGTATTTAACAACTCCATCCATGATATATATAATCTTGTGATATTATATCATCTAAAGACTATATTAACGATGTGCTTAATGAAACAGCCGAGGATTGCCAACAAAATCCGAATGAGATCAATGTCATTGGACCCAGCGACGATTGGGACGATGGTCTAACATTCACAGCAAAATCATCACGTAAGTTCCATTTGCTTCTATATGTTTCATATCTTTGTGTTCCATATATCGTCAACTAATTCGTGTAAGCGATATGCCATATAGGGCTATTGGTGGCCGGCCAATGCATTGCCTTATAAGAGTTATGATTTCAAAGTTTCTCTTTTGCTCAACCGAATCTAGCGATCTGTATGATCTATGCTCTCGATCGGTGGTTATATAGCTATAACCGATTTGTGTTCTTCTTCTTTATTCCTTTTAAGTTTTTTCGTTTTCAATCTGAGCAACTGACTACACAAAAATGCCATCAAGTATTTCATTTGATCCTATAACAAAATGGGCCTTACGCCAGACTTGATCTATATGATTTTACACAGTCCGACACAACTGCTTAAAGTACAGTAAAAATAGTTCCGGAAGGCTATGAACATTTTGTACAATTTGCTCTAGTTGTTTATTATATCTAGTAGCCGGTGTTGTTTCGCTGTTAAAATCTAGATGAAAAGTTGTATAGTTTTTTATACTCTCCCACACTTTAGTGACACATGAACCAACTCAAATGATAACAGATAAACTCTAGAGCCAAAGCTCTATCAACTTTTTTTATTTTTATTTTTTTATTTTATTTTATTTTTTTTTTTTTTTTTTTGACCACCTAACATTGTCCTTAAACGCGTAATCTTTGGCTAGTACCTAAAATAAATAAACTAAAAGCTATAACGACAATATTTCTATATATATTTTTTTATCCCTATTTTATGCCTATCCAATTTCATTTGATTTGACATACCAATATGTTGCTCGATATATCCGTATATATCCGTATATTAGCTGACTCGGATCGCGCCAATAATAACTCTCTGATAGCGCATATACAAAACCTGCCCGGTTTTGATGCATCTAAAGCGCGCATCGTTCAGCACTATGCGCCCAAACTTGAGGACGGTCCTCAGCCAGAACTAGACTCGCCCGATCCACCAGTTGGACCCACAGCGGCCGAACTGATCCTGCCCTGGCGACGGGATCGTTCATACCAGAGCATTGGTAAACAATATCAACGAGAATCAAACAATAACAAAAACCACCAAAAATATCTATAATTATATGAAAAAGAACCTTTGGATATACAAACTATGTATATTCAATCTCATATTTAGCGACATTCCATGTCTTCCATTATCCCTACATCTATGATATGCATAAACATTTGTAGATCATCCGCTTAGGCTTGACCCACACGAATATCTCTCAAGTTCCTCATCTAAATTCTATAGAGAAAATATATATACAAAATATTGCCAGTATTTCTATTCTTGTAAATAATCAAAGATAAAGTAATACTACCTATCTAAATTTGCATATTTAAAGATTAAAACTTAAAATTTCGTCAGCATTTACAGTTGAGAGAAGCGTAATGAATAAGTTGAAATTAATCTTGATATTATAAAATATTTATACACCAAAGTATAACAAAGTACTTACTTAATCGGTATATCTAAAATATATGATAGAGTTTACTTAACAACTGGCACTGAAACTTATTTTTTTTTCTGCGCTTCTCTCTTTGATTTAAAGCCGATCATCTCCATTCGCTGTTTTGTCATTCGTCATTCATAAAAACTGAACAATATCAAAGATAAATTCTTTGCATTTGCAAGCCATAAAACCGTTTATCTATCTCATAATCTCTTAGAAATTGAATGTACAAACGTAAATTGTGCTAAAACATTTGAAGCTGCTGTTTAAGCTATACCGAGTTTAATTTAGTTGCTTCTTTATTTGTCTATTTTTTCTATTTATTCTATTTATTTTAGTTGTGTTAACAGATTTTTACTGAGGCCCATTTTATTTAGTTCCTAATTTATCAAAATCCTTATATATTCCTGAATTGGCAACATACAAATATATAAGCTCAAAAATGCAGTTAGCTCTACTACCTGTTAAAAATTAACAGCTAGATCAGCTGACAGTCTATTTGAATGGGAACATGTACTACTGGGCCAATGTATTCTTTACTTATTCTTCTCTGTTCTTTAACTGTCTTCAATAGTTGTCATCGATGTCTGTGAAACGACTGATTGTTATATATATATATATACATCCATGTACCTAAAAACTCTCGCTGAATTGCTTGATTGATAGAAAAAAAGAAACAAAACAAAACACCTCTGCAATAAAGCTCGTAGTTCTTGTAGTTCCATAAATCCATAACTAATGATAATTACCATAGGCGTTCATCTGAAAAAGCAATGCCGAAATTTAGTATTTATTTGTAGAAATCCATAATATTACGCAAATCAATTGAAATTGAAATCACAAAACAAAAATTGAAAGCATTTCAAGCATTTGAAACATTTCGAGCATTTTGAAGCGAACCAAACAGCAAAAGCAGCATGGCATTTTTGTGCATGACAAAGTTATTTGTTGTTGCCCTCCCAGAACCATATACAACCTTTTAAGTTCAAAGACGCGTCGACACAACAGATATATTTAAGTCATTGGTTATTATCCTAATATTTTTATTAGTCTTCTTTTCATACAAAAAATACGAATCGAATCGAATCAATCAAACTTTTCGAACTTCTATCGAATTTTTAAATATATTTAATAATAGTAATTAATTAAATATATTAAATTAAGTTCGATGGTTCTGCCTAGCTAACGCCAGTTCCGATATCATTGAAACTGATGGATCGGTTCATTCGCTGGTTCGCGCTTTACAGCACGCTAACTCGATTCGATGCGTTTTGATTTATGTATGCTGATTCTAACGGAATTGTTTTGCATTTTAGTTGAGTGCACTTTATTCATATACTCCTCTCCCGATATTTAGTAGTTATCGATAACTGAGCTTAAGCGAACTAGCCAATCTGAACGCGCGACGCATGCCAGAGAATAGTCAAACAAGTTTAAAAAACCTACTGAAAAACAATCACCAAATTTCTATCCCACAGTGGCGGAGCATCCAATACCCGAAGAGGATCGCAATTTATCGCGCGACTCGGATGGCGAACGGCGCGTGGCCACGCCCACAGCCACAGAGTCGCAGCTGCCGTGGAAGCGCCAGGGCGATGAAAGCACGGATGCAGTGCAGCAAAATGAATTTCCCGCCTGGGCCTCAAACAAGGAGTATTTGGCATACAATTCGCCCAGCGCCACCTTTCTAGGTAAGATACAAAGTTAATCAAGCTGCTGACGAGATAGCAGCCAGTCCAGCTCCAAGTACGGACGGGAACGGGCAGTTTTCCAACACTGAATGTACAAATTCCGGTTCCGTTTCCGTTACGACTTCAACTATTTCTATTTCTGCTATTCAAATTTAAATGTAAATTGGCTTTTAAAAAAACCTCTATGAAAGAAAATAAACATATGTAAATAACTGAAGTTACATGTGTATATAACTAAATATGTATAATTGGTAAAATATATAGTTTTCTCTTGTGTTTCCTAAGTGCACCACAGCTTTGAGCTCGAGACTAAACGAAACAAACTAAAAAATTCTAATTGATCGTAAATCACATGCAGTTCTTTTTCTATATGATTTTATTTTCGTTAATTTCCTGAACTTTGTGTTTTCTTCTCTTTGCCGCATTGTTTATCCTTTGGTAACTGTTGCCCACGCCCACACACCGATAAATACACACACACACACACACTCTCTGTCTCTCTCTATCTCTCGATACCGTGTACATTTTGATGTTGCCCGCAACCAACTGTGCTCGCTCCCGACTCACGCCCACGTAGGTGGTATAAACAAGCCTAAACAGCCCAAGTCCGTCATAGGTCTGTTCCGTCGCGAAAGTTCCAGCTCGAAGGCCGGCAGCCTGGGGCTTGGCAGCAACAGCAGTGGCGCGGTGGATGCAGCCACAGCCAGCCAGGATCTTGTGGCTGCGCCCAATGTGGGCAACGCCATGAATCCCACTGCTTCGACGTCCAAGCACAATCCACGGCTGGACAACCGCTCACAGTCCATTTCATCTAGCACATTGGGCGCTCACCTAGTAGGGCCGGACGGTCATACCGGACCCTTTCCGGTCACGGCCAGTCATCGCCGGAACGTGCGACGTGGCTCCATGCTGGAGCTTAGCGGGTAAGTCTTTGTTACGCCTGCGGCACACTGCCACACTTTGTTGTCCACACGCACGCGCGCGCACACACACACACACACAGTGTGCACATATATGTATGTGTGTGTGTTTTGTTTTGTCTTTATGTAGCTTGAATGTGCAATGCATGTGGGTGTAATTGATCGTTTCTGTGCTTGTTTTTTGTTTCTTTAGTTTTTCCTAGGACTGTTTATATATGTCATAAACTTCATTAAACAAGGGTCAAAATATTTAGAATATAATTTTTTGTTGAATGCCAATCAATAGCTTCCACCCCAATTCGTATGAGCTCAAAGAGATATAACGAAAGCAGACACAACTTAAGACTTTATTTTGTTAGAAATAATCGGAAACAAAATTTTGGGATGCTGCCTCATATCGTATATCATTTATATATTTTTCTGCATTTTACTAGTATTCATTTCTTTTACTAACAAATGCTATACAATTTCCTAAGCTAAGCATGCATAAAATGGCGTAAAAATATATATGCAAAAAAAATAAAAGAATACTTATGAACTACTTTATTTGAGTAAAAAGCCAAGCTCTTTACAAATTTGATCAATAAAAATAAAAAAGTAATAAAAATTTGTTCGTTTGCTCAAATTTGCTTTTGATTTCGCTGATTGTTTTTTACATTTCGAATATATACACATATTCTTTCTTAAGCGAAACAATTGAATTATCCATGATTTCTTTTGTAACACTTTAATATTTGTGTGCTCTCAATTTGATTTCGAAAAATACAAATAAATGCGAAATGCGCGACTTGACAACGGTTTCGCAGACTTATAGCAACTGGACGCAGACCCAGTAGAATTTTGCTCTGTAGTCCTGGCGCTAATAACTTGCTAGAGAACACAACAACAACAACAACTACAAGAACAACAGCCACAACAACAGCAACAGCTATCAATGTCAAACCAATATTAATAACAACAACTCCAACAACAACAAGTACTACTGCAACAACAGCCACAGTCAGCAATAGCAATTCAGCAAATCAAACAGCCGGAAATTACAATTCCCCGAGCAACTCGTCAACAACCAACTACAGCTCACCCACATCGGAGAGCAGCGGCGCTACGTACTATTCAAAGTAATCCGAGTGCCCAAAAATAATACCACCAAAGGGCAATCAAAATGCAATGCAACTAAAGCCGGCCAATGTCGAATTTCTACTAATCTTATATCGTATACCAGACAAAAAGAAACTAACACAATAAAACCTATGATCGAAACTATATTTATATATATATGTCCTATATATATATAATTTGTATAGAGATCAGTCCACGCATATCTCATTCAGTCAGTGGAAATCAAAATTCACGTAGTCTATGTCTATATACACATATATATATAACTGGATCTAGATTTGACTTTCAATCTCTCTGGCAATTGGCATTACTTCATATCGCACTCATCAAGTATTCTATGCAGAGCTGGGCTCCATAATTGTATGAGTTGTCCGTATGCCTAGGCAGGAACTAAATAGATTGGTGTAACTATCCCAACTAACTCAATTTTCTATAGTTTTTGTATATATATAATTTATTAACAAGTTTTCTGTTTTCGACTAAATGATTCATTATTAACACTTACTCTGTAATTTAACATGTAGTTAACATTTTACTAAAACCAATTGCACAATTTGCTGCTGTTATCGAAAATTTGCTTTATTGCTTTCAACTTTTTTGTTTATAATTTTGAATTATATTTTTAGCGCCGTTTCAATTGAGTCCGTATAGCAGCTGTCTATGCCACAGCCAAATGCTTCTATCACACTTAGTAAACACCACAACACAACACATATATCAATATTTTCCAATTACAAATTATATACACAATATCCAAAATAGTAGTCGAGCTGTTGTAAAAGTCTAGTATTTATTGGCTATTGGCTCTTAATTATATATATATCAAATATATGATTCATAAATATGTGTAAGTATTTTGGCTTGCTTTATATGATTACCAAATAGATAACAACTGTGCTAACCCCAACAAGTGTTACTGTTATATGTGTGTATATTAGAGGTATTCCTGTAACTGATTGAYTGGGTTTGTTTGTATGAATTGATATATAAATAGAATCATTTATAAATATAGAGGGACTTTGTATTATTAACAAAGAAATAGAATTAGTTTGATGCAGAACAATATATAGTCGAAAAATGAATAAACAATAAAGAAGTGAATAAAGCTAAAAAAAAAACATGAAAATACAGATTTTATGAGGTTCTCTTATAGGAAAAAAATGTATTTTCTCTACCGATCCTAGAGGTTTTTGTATTACTTTCTAGTTTCTCATCAGTCTAGCGAATATAAATAAATGTAATCATGTAAGCTATTAGAAAGAGAATCTTAAATAAAAATTTAGTTCAATCAGTTACATTGAAATATCTCCGCAACTAAATACTAATATTCGACATTCTCAAACATAAATCATTCTTACTTTGAAAAGAGCCCAACAAACTGCTGGCAGTTGTTTGAAAAGTTGTTTTAAATGTGCTTACATTTATCTATATCTATAAATAATAAAATAAACCCCCATATTATACATTAGCTTTTACATGTCTTCTCCTCACTCTGTAAATTTGCTTTAAAATTTCTATTTTTCTGCTTACGCTTCTCCTTTTTTTACTACAAACTATTCTATAATATAATTATTTCTCTGAGTACCCAGAACCCATTGAACATAAATGTGTTTAACAATGAGAAAAATACATTTGCTATCCTAAGAGCCAGTGTGCTAGCGCTCTGCAATGCTGCCAACCCAGGTGCAAACGAATTCCGAATTATGTATGTTAAAGTCCATCGCAGAGGCTGTGTGTGAACTTGAAGAAGGCCGTATACCCTGATAAAGATGATATTAATATCGATTAAAATAATGATATAATCATAAGTTTACATTAGATTATAATAAAAACAATAATATTCCTTGGGTTCAGGTCATTTGCTAGTCGGATACTCTCGACTAGAGCTCACTTAATTCTTTGCTTATTAAATTTCCTTGCTCTGTAGTGATTTCAGTATTAAAGTAATATAAACAAATTATATGTAAACTACTTATTTGTTGAAGCTATTGAGTAATTAATACAATATTTGATTCGTTTCTTAGTTATCTATCGGTAGAGGCCCCAGTTAATGAATTAGTTGTTTTAGCCTCATTGTAACCCATGTTCATATATCGCTCCATCTCAATCAAAATTGAACCCGAAATTGACATTTACTTTCTCTCGACTCTCTCTTCACATCCATTGCCCAACCGCACACAACAACAACAACAACAACACAATCACAGTGATACAATACCCGAGGAATCCACCTATCAGCACGGCCACTCCAAATCGCTCTGCGAACCCGCGGATGGGGATGATTGGGACGCGATGCCGCTTACTAATACCGGCGCCTCCGTCTCCGCCTCCACGGCGGGCGAGAGAGTAATGCATTCGGGTCGTGAGCCTTTGCTGCCCCGCTTGGCATCGACGCCACGTGCCCAGATCCGACACATGAGCGCCGGTGCGGTGAGCGGTGCTACTGTGGGCGTGCCGGGCTGCAAGAATCAAGTGACCACCGCGTTGCTAGACTACGAGGACACTGACAGCGAAACCGAGGACGAGGACGATGACGAAGGCGAGGATTTCGATTTGTATGACGATGAGAATATTGTGGTCACCACATTCACAACCCCACTCACGCCACGCCTACACGAGCTGGGCAGACGCGGCGGACCTGGTGGTGGTGGAGCATCTGGCGGTGGTCCAACCACCAGCACCACCACCACGAGCATTCGCCTGACGCGGAACAACGATGAAAGCATCATTTGAGTGTCGAGCAGTGCAGATGCAGCTGTTTCAGCTAGTTGGACAGCCCGTGTCCGGTCCAGATTTAGTCCCTTCCAATACGAAATGTTCTACTGAGATCAGCAACGATTAAACCCCAACATAGCTATATATAGTTCGTTCTATATGTGCATACATTTTGGCTTAAAAGTAAAAAACAATGAAAAAAACGTCATATTAAAACTAAATAACTAAAAATCTGTATATACCAAGGGAGAACAGCTACCGACGGCTTGCCGCAAATTAATTGTCCTTGCAGATGGGATTCTATAGCAACAATGTGTATAATTGATATACAAGGATACAATTTTAAATTTCACATTTAAATTTAAGAAAAATATCAATAATTTTTGTGAGTTGCATTAAAATGTCTACATTTTACGGATGCTATCAAGTATATAAAGAGATCAAATCTTCTATCCTTTACTGATCTAGAATTGTCTCTGCAAGGGTATATACCTACCTACCTAGACTAGCACATAAATTTGATTGCTTCTTTGAAAAATTGGAAACGTATCTACTTAAATATATATTCATATTCTATTGTATTTCATTGTATTTAAACAAGCCTAATGCAAATGTGTTCCAGAAACAATTGTGTTATCATTAACAATTTAGCCAAAGTTCAGATTAAGTCGTAACATTGTTTTTGCTTTTAGTTTAGATAAATTTATCGTAAATATATACAAAATAAATATATATGAGCGTAATTTGAACTGTGTTGCTACCGGTATAGCTACAGTGTTTAGTTCAATTTTAGTCATACTTTCCAACTAATTAATTACTGAAGTATCCGTTAATCAGCGTGTAAAAAGTAAGCCGAATGTTTTTGCCATAAACAGTCAAGTTGCAAAATAATACCAATAAATAAATAAAAACGTATTCATAAGTGAAACTAAATTAGTATATTACATAAATACCAACTAACTAGTTCATAGCTATTTAGCAAGAGTTGTGTAATTTATAAATTATTTTTGTAAACATTTACGAGCCACAAAATGAATAATGTGAAAGTTTAGCACGAGAGGGTCGCTCGAGGCGACCCAAGAGTAAATCTTATCTTATAAGAAGTATGCGTGAATTTTGACTGTATGACTAGATCGAGGTAAAAACCCAATAATATATGGAAAATCAAGTGAAGAATAATGCCAGAACAGAATCCATTTCTATCATCCATTTGCTGATTTAAAAACTTACAGTTTCAATTGCAACGCGCTTAGTCGATAATTGTTTACTAGATTTGTGTCCTACGTGATTCTTTGTCTAAGTACATTTATCCAAGAAATTGCCTTCTAAATATGCACATTTGAGCTGAATAAATAAAATAAAATTACAATTGACCGAAAATTCCGTTAAGATTGGATATAAATTATACTATTAAAAAATAAATTTTCTTTGGTTAACTAAAATACATATATTCTATTATTTAAACGAAAGACAATAAACAGCTGCAAGAAATGTGCGAGTTTCTTGTGAATTGTCGTTTCACTTAAAAGAGAACAAATGAATAAAAATGATGAAATAAAATACATGAATGAAATAAAATCAGAGCTGTGTTACTTATGAGCGCGTTTTCTATATATAAATATACAGAATATGTAAGTGCAATGCAAACTTTATACATTTAACGACAGCTCAACAAATAAATTCCTTGAGAACATAAACTAAACCAAATAAATTGAAAGAAATTTGAAAATAGTTTGCAAATTTTCATACTGTAGGCCTTAAGTTGTGCATATTATAAAATATAGTATAACAAAGTAAAGTAAAATTCACCTAATTATTTAGCAAAACACAAACCTAAAATGGAAATTAAATACAGCAAAAATAATACAAAAATAAAACTTGTAAACTGTTAAACTGATTTTAAATATTGTATAAGAAAATTTTACTAAAAATAAAAATCAAATGAAAAATCAAAAAAATGCAATTTACAAATCATTTCAAAAGCAAATATAAATATGACTCAGCACCAGCAGCGCCACTGCGTGCAATTGGGTTTCTTGGGCAACTGCCAGTCCATGATGACACCACGACCCACCAGACGATTGTTATGGTCCTCCATCATTGCCCGCGCCAGCGTCTCATTGCATGCAAACGTGACGTAAGCACAGCCCATCAGCTGGCCATCTCTGCGCTTCGTTATGTGCACCGATTGAATTTTGCCGCGCAACCGTTCGTCTGGTGTGGCATCACTGCGCTCAGGCTCTGGCTTGCAGCGCCAGTGTTGCCAGAAGCGCTGCAGAGGACGTAAAGCCGTTTGATTGGCTGCCGTTGCGGTTGAGGCTGCGGTGGCACTTGCGGTTACGGATGTGGCAGAGATTGCGGTTGGGCTTGCCGTTAGCGCGCTTTGAATTTTAGTTTTGAAAACTGTGTAAGTACATAAGACGAATATCTAGAGAATTGAAAATCAAAAGATACTATAAATTGTATTTGAAAATAAAATAACTAAAAAAATTTTTTTAATTTCAGAGAGATGTGGTTTGAATATAAAATCAATTGAAATATTTTATATATAAACTTATCTCTGATATCACCTGCCGCCAAATAACTAAAGAAATATCAAAGTTTTTGTTTGAAATTTTGTTTATACATTTATTTCACCAAATATGTGTTAAATTTTTGTCCTTTTTTTAATTTCATAATTTCATTTCGTTTTGAAACTGATATAGTTTAATATGTTTATTGGTATTTTCTCATTTTAATATTTGCATCTCTTGAAGAACTCTTTCTATATATATGTATGTATATATTTGTGTTTAGTATGTATTATGTATGTATTTATGTTTGTATCTCTGCAGATCTAACCGAAAAACAGGACTTCTACATAAGATGTTCAAGTTCCATGTGCATAACGTACATTATTTGTGTTATATATATATGCAGGCATATGTCTGTATGTGTGTATGTTAGTATGTAGGTAAATATGTATATCGATGGTCATCATTTCGCTTTTAAAGTGTATCTGCGTCTGTGTGTGCTAGCTAATGCGTATATATTAAATTTTTTTATTTTTAGTTTAATATTTTATTTACTGCTTAGTGAAATTCATGAACGCTTTAACCACTAAAAACAAATACGCGTATATGAGCATTATATGTATGCAAGTGTGTGTGGGTGTGAGTTTGCTCTATAAGAAGTGTGCATTCCTTACTTAAGGTAAACATAAATAGTTTTCATTTATTTTGTTTTCGCTATTTAACATTTTGCTAATGAAATTTATATCATTTACTCAATATATATTTTGTTTTTGTTTACACACATATGTTAATAAGTTTTTAAAGTTTCAGCTAAAAACTTGCCAAAACCAAAACGAAAAAAAAAAAATACGAAAACTTTTTAATGAGGCAAGTTTTAGGAAAAGCTTTTCTTATTTTTTCGTTATCCGATTTGGATTTCTTTTTTTTTTTTAGTAGTTATAGGTCCTATATAGATGCATATTATGTCTAGTTTTTGGTATGCAATAACAAGTTACTAAATTAGTTTTCATCATGTTAAGTACTGGATATCGTTTTGAAAGGCAATCGAGAGTGTGAGTGATTTCATTGCAGATATAGCATTAATAGAATATTCAAGTATATTTATATATTTAACCATAACTAGCATAGAGCTGATGCACAGCATAACAGAACAGATCATAATATAGCCATATATATATATATTGTACTAGATCATATCATGTTTATATATAGCTAATTTGTATTGAAATCGTATAATGATCTACCCACAAATTTTATACAATAATTTCATTTTTCTTATTTTTTTTTTTTTTTTTTTT